TGCCATGGAATCGGTCAAGACTGATGCCCCAAAAAGCTCCAGCTTGGGGGCAGATCGGGGTCAGGCTGGGGCACCATTCCCTGTGCCTCGTAGGATCGGCAGGAAATAGATTGCACCAGATTGCAATCGACTTCCCTGTGTGATCGCATCCCGACTGTTTTGGACTCCACTTCCCTGTAACCCTAATGAGAGGGGGTTCTGGAAGTGATCTTGTGTCACCTGATATGGCAATAATTTTAAAAATTATTTCCCGGACTCAGATACTGACTCATAAGCTGCCGAGCCCCAGGTGAACTGGGCTGGCATCTGGGAAGTGGTTGACCTCGATGGGATGCTTATTTCCATGTTTGAGCCGCTTCTGTTTCACAGCCATGGATTTTGCAGCAGGAACCCTATCGCTCACTCGTGCATAAGTGAAATTGCATAAGTCACGGCAGCAAAGTGACACTAATTAACGAGCGGCCAGTCCAGCTTGTGTGCCCATCAAGTGACTGAGTGTGCAATTAACGAGTGACAGATTACTGCAGCAGTGTGTGTGATTTCACTTGTGCACCATAGATCTTCACCAGTAAGGATACTGGCTGCTTCTTTCTGTATATGGAATGTTAGTTTCCTGGCAGCCCAGCTGCTTTTTTTTTTTCCACTTGACATGCCTGAGAAATGTTTAGGAGTTGCTTAACCTCATTTGGCAATGCCTGCTGAACGAGTCTGTTTGCGATGCAGCCTTAAGTCCTGTCCCAGAGAATAGAATCACATGATGGAGACAGGTGATAATATTTCATATAGGATTATGAATTCCCTGCCTTGAACTGATCTTGATTTTCCCCACCCCACCCCACTTCATAAGACTCTCTTCTCTGGATTTCAAAATCCATAGTAGCACAATTCTTCTGATGGATCAGCTCAAGGTCAAGAAATAATATGCAAATCTTGAATTGCTCAGCTTTTGGCTGCCTTCAAATTAAGTGGCACTGTGTTTTAAAGTTGTGGTTACATGCTCTTAAGGCACTTCTGACTTAAGATAACTCTACTAGAATGAGATGTTCAAGAAGCAAGTTGGCATCGCCGATCTCTAGTAAGTTCCCATGGGAATTCGAACTTGTGTCTCCTGAGTCCTAGCTCGACCCTCTATCCTGTATACCCCACTGGCTCATGAAAACTTGTGTCTCCTGTCCTAGCTCGACCCTCTATCCCAGTGGTGTCGAACTGCGGCCCTCCAGATGTTCTTGGCCTTCAACTCCCAGAAATCCTGGCCAGCAGAGGTGGTGGTGAAGGCTTCTGGGAGTTGAAGTCCAAGAACATCTGGAGGGCCACAGTTTGACACCACTGCTCTATCCTGTATACCCCACTGGCTCATGATGATGAGTAAACGGATACTGAATTAAGTCAAGCCTGTGTAGGAGCAAAAATGACTCAACTCAGGCTGTTAGATTCTGAGCACAGACTCACTGGGAAAGACAATAATGCTCAGAAAAGCTGAAGGCAACAGGAAAAGAGGAAGATAAAACCTGAGATGGATTGACTCAGGCCCCAGCAGGGCTTTCAGGATCCAAGCCTTTGAAGATCATTACGTTTGCTGTGAAGTCTTTCCAGTGAATAACTTTTGCTTTTTATTAGTGTGAATGGTCAATAAAGAGTGGATCAGTTCTGCTCTTTCCAGCTTTACGGTGGGCAGGGTGATTGTTTTTAAAAGTTTCATTGCACAGCACCAACGAGAATGGCAGCAGCAGCAGCAAGAAATACTGTGGTTTACAGACCATAAGATGTTGGGCAGGATAAGCTCCTGTCTGTCCAGCCTGCGCAGTGGGGAAGACGCCCCATGTGCTCCGCCATAGATGTAATCATACCTCCCCGTGGAGGTGGCACAGGACGTGGCGGGTTGCCCTCCAGGACGGGTGGGGGCTGGGAAGCGTCTTGGCACTGATAGAGGCAGCAGATCTCCTTGGCTGGCAGGGATGCGAAGGTCGATTTACACGCATTTCGAGAACGGAGCTTCCGAGAACAACGTTGGTTGGAGATTCCCGAAGAATGAGTAAGGTGCAAGGACTGGAATTTTAAAAAACAACAACACTGGTTGCTTTGAACCAACATTCTGTGGGGCCCAGTGCCTTCTCCCCACACAACGGCCAACCGCAGTGGCTGACGTTCGGGAAACACATGGAGCCGAAAGCTTCCCTGCTTTAGTTCCTCCCCATCAGTTAGAATCTTGATGGTCTGAAGGTGGAAGGCCCACAGGGTGATGGGCCTCCAGGGTGCCCTTCACGGGAAAATCTCTGGCTGTGCTTTCAAGAGGTGAAAATGACGGTTCTTCTCCTCTTTATAATTGACCAAAAATGTGTCAAGTCATTCATTCATTCATTTCGGACAGAGAGAGGAAGGAACTGGTGATGGATGGATGGATGGAAGGAAGGAAGGAAGGAAGGAAGGAAGGAAGGAAGGAAGAAAGGAAGATTGATGGAGTCAATAATTAAATATTTATTTAT